GGCCGCGGCCGCGGGAGGAGGTCGGGCGGCCCGGGCCCGGAAGAGGGAGAGCGCCACCCTGGGCTCCTCCTCGGGCTGGACGATCTCGCCCTCCTCAATCTCTGAGTCGCCGGGGGGCAGCAGCGGCGGCGGGAGGGCGGCCCCGCCGGCCGTCACCACCTCCACCGAGACCTTGCCTTCCCGACAGGCCTCCGCCTCGGTCCCCACCACAAAGACGCGCCGGCGGGTGGCTCCTTCGGCCCGGGTGGAGTCCGCCTGGGGTGGTGTTCCGGGGGCTGGAGTCGGCTGCGGGGGCTGGGGGTCCGGGCGGGGGCTGTCGTCACCTGGGAAGTCCTGGCTCAGGCTGTTGTCATCGTAGATGCCCGCTAGGGTCTCTGAGATGCGGCTGATGCTCTGGGACAGGCCTTCCTCCTCCTCTTCCTCTTCCTCCTCCTCCTCTTCCTCCTCCTCCTCCTCCTCCTCTTCTTCCTCAGGTGAGGGGGTCCCGGCTGAGGAGCTGGGGTTGGAGCCAGTGGGCTCGAAGGGGTCGTACTTCTGCTCCGGAGCGGGTGGTGGGGAATAGGCCTCGTCGGTGGGGTGGAAGGGGTCATAGATGTCAAATCGGGGAGCAGGCGGGGCAGGGGGTTGTGGGGGGGGTGGAGGGGGAGGAGGGGAAGGGGAGGATGATGAGGGGGAAGGGGAAGGCGAGGAGGACGCAGAGGAGGGGGCAGGGGGTGGGGCGGGGCCCCCGTCTCCCGTCCCCAAGGTGAGGAGGTGGCGGGCACAAGGGGGTCGAGAAGAGTGAGACTGTGGAGAAACTGCAAAGGAACAGAGGAGACAGAACCCCGGTCAGGCACACATCCCTCCTCCCTGTCCCCCAGCGGAGGGGACCGCAGGCAGGACAGCACCCCGCCACTGCCCCCCCACTCAGCACTGGCTTCACAGCAGGCCTGCTCCCCGTGCTTTACTGTGTCAACTCCTAGGATGCTCCTAACAGCTTCCCACTGTAGGTACTGTGACCCTTGAGGCACGGGAGGAAACTGAGGCACAGAGAGCTGCAGTATCTTCCCCAAGGACACACAGGGGGGAAAGTCAGGGTGCAAACTCGCTCAGTGTAGCCCCCGAGCCTGCACTCCCATATCCCGAGACGTCCACCGGCCTGCAGCCCAAGACCACCCTGACCAACGACAGCAGCGACGTGACCACAGGAGGCACAGGCTGGGGCGGGAGACACCGTCCACGAGGCCGAGCTCCGGCCAACTGCACCAGCTGCCTTTGCAGGAATTTATCCTGTTTTCCAGAAGGAATAAGGTGAGGCTGAAAAGGTGAAATTCCCTTCCCAGAGCCAGGAAGTGGCCGAGCCCTGACTGCCTGAGTCCTCACCCCATGCTCTTCACTCTGTGACAAGCCCCATCCCAGGGGCCACCTGTGCTCAGGACTCAGAGACATCACTGACCAGTGACAGTGACAACCACTGCTCACTCCCTCCTACGGGCCAGGCATCGTGCTTTCTGACGTCGCCTCGTCCGCCCTCCTGAGACCCTGCCTGCTAAGCACTACACAGTCCCAGGGCCATAAGTCACACACGTGGAGACAACTGACCGCGGTTGCACCTCGGGCGGGTGGCCAGGCCAGGACTCAGACACACACGTAAGAGTCCAGAGACCACTCTCTCAACCACATGTAACTGCAAGGAGCCTGCCGTGGTGAGGACACCAGTACGGCCATGGGGACAGTGCCAGGGAAGGAGCGGGTGGAGAGGGCAGCTCGGGAGCCACCTCCCAATCCGGATCCCAGGCTCCAGCCTCACCTGCGACACGACTGCTGGCCAGAAACTCAACCTCTGTCTGCCTCAGTTTCCCCGTTTATAAAATAGGAGTTTGCTCATTCAGTCAACACGCATTTATTGACCACCTATTTTGTGCCAGGCACTGTCTGGGAAGTCTAAACCTGGGGATCTCATCAGGGCCCCAGGGGGCCAGCAGCAGCACCACCACCAAGGAACTGGTTAGAAATGCAAATTCCCAGGCCCCACCCCAGACCTGCTGAATGGGAAACCCCAGGGGGTGGGGCCAGCGACCTGTGGATTAACAAGTCCTCCTGGTGATTCTGCTCCACTTCAAGAACCTCTGCTCTGCACTGCTCACAGCCTTACACCTGCACCTACTCACGGCGTGCAGGGTTGGGGAGCAGACTCACAGGAAGCTGCACATGGCAGAAGTCAAACACTTGGGTTTTACACTCAGACGGACCCGGGCTTGGGGCTCAGGGCCCAGGACAACCACAGAGCCTCTGGCTGTGCCACTTTGAGCAAGTGGCTTCCCTCTTACAGCCTTCTCCTCTGGAAGATAGAGATGCTAAGAGCCCCCTTCCTGGGGAGATGAATTCCCAATGCACCTACCCTGGGTGCCACACGTGCTAGCTATCGTATCCGTTTTTACTTCATGTACGTCTGTATCTACGTACAACCTTTACTCAGTCTGATAGGAAAAAATGGTAAAATAAAGCTTTTGTCTAAATAACACGATCATCACTACCATTCCTACCAACAGTAGCTGACTCCCGCACAGCGCCGGCACCACGTACCCGTTTTGCCCGTCCTCCAGGCCCTGAGACGGGGCAGCAGGCTGGGCACAGGCAGAGGGATCGGATCCCTGTCCCCGATCCGGACCTCGGCCACCAGCTCCAGCATGTCCTCGCTTCTGCAAGGTGGAAGGGGTGAGTGAGCCTCAGGGGCGCCTCCAGCTCCCACGTCGGGGCCTCTCCCAATCCGGCTGCCCAGCTACTCACTCGCCAGGCCGCAGGTCCAAGTGGCTGGGGACCCAGGTATCTGGGGGATCCAGGACGCTCACCAGCCCCGCGAGAAAGCTGTCCGTGGCCATGTCCAACACCTGGAATAGGCCAGGAGGGGTTCTGCCCTGTCCCTGCTCACGTGGGGCCCCACGAATCCCATTTCCCCAGCCCCTAACAACTCAAGAATCCAGGCATCTGAGACCCCAAGAAAATGCGGGGATCTAACCAATTCCCTCATCCTGGCGGCCTCCAGGGCCCAAGGCCTGGCCCCCAAGGATCAGGCCCCAGACCCTCCATCACTGCCCTCGATCAGCAGCCCAGCCCCAGGAGTCTGGGTCCCCACCCCATCTCTCCGTCTCAGGCATCCAGGCCCCAATGCCCTCCCTCCTCCAGCCCCATGAGTCTTGGCCCCCAGCCCCCTCTTCTTACTCACAGTAGCCGTGTCAGTCCCCCCGGATTCCTGGGAACGGGGCTCGGACCGTGGGCTCTGGCAGCGCCTCCATCGAAGGCCATGACACCGAGAGCCATCTGGAGAGAGATTTGCACGGGGGATTGGAGACAAGGGACTAGATGCAGAGACCTTGAGGAGCAGAGGAAAGAGGAGCCTGCCCTAGCTCGAGACAGGGAACCCAGCTCCTGCCTGCTCTCCAGGCTTCCGTCCACCACCTCCCAACAAGGATCCCAGAAGGACTTCCCCGGCACCCTTCTGAGGCTCCAACTCTCACCCATCTGGCCTCCTAGCTGCCCGCAGGATGAAGTCCAGACAAGTCAGCTTGGCATTTCAGCCTTGCTGTGACACAGTCCCACGGACCTCTCCTGCCTCCCCCTGCCCACCAGCCCCTAAAATCCACGACTCAGGCCTGCAACACGCCCGTGCTGTGTGCCTGCCATTGCCTCTGCCTATCAGGCTGTTTTCTTTACCAGACAACTCCAGTACATCCTCAGAGACCCAGTTCACCTGTCACCCTCTCTAGGAAGCCTTCCAGGACTCCATCCCCCTCCATGCTAGCTTGGCTGGCCCCCTGCCCTCTCACAGGCTACCTCTGTGCTGTGACTGTGTCTCCCCTCCACCAGACTGTGAACCCCCCTAAGGCAGCCGCAGGGTCTGACCCACCTTTGGCTCTCCGTGCCAGCACAAGGGTGGCACCCAGGAGCCCTCAGAAAAGTGTACATGAATGAAATCAGGATAAAGAACGCAGAGATGGGGTAGGGGGCTAAGGGGATCAGAATTCATCATACCTTTATCATTCGGCAGATCCCCCTGCAGGGAACTTCCCACGGCCTGCTGAATGGCCCGCTGAGGAAAAGGTGGAGGGCGAAGGGGGCGGAAAGAAAGGACTGTCAGGGCACTCGTGCAATGGCCACGAGCTCTGCTCCTGAGAGACGGCCATTCCAGACACCCCTACAACCAGACTCAAACCCTTCAGAGGAGCCAAGAGTCCAGGCCCCCAGCCCCTCCTCCCCTCCAGGGCCCAGGAGGCCAGCCCTGGAGTCTGGACTCCCAGCCCCGCCATACCCTCAGCCCTAGGTGTCTGGACTCCCAGCCCCTCCCTCCCTCAGCCCCAGATGTCTGGCAGCCTCACCAGGATAAAGGCAGAAGGAGAAAGCGTGGGGTCTCTGTCGGGCGGACCATCGCCCCGATCCTCGCCCGACTCCTCTGTCTTCCCTCGAGACTCATCTTCTTCCTCCATGGTCACCTGGTGGTCGAGGGAGCGAGAGTTTGGAGTGGAGGCTGGGGGTGGGGACGGAGTGGTAGCAGAAGGCGGTGCAAGCAGGGAATGAACAGGAAGGGCGTCCAGCATTGCCCATCAGCATCCTCCTCAGCATCCCTCCCCTCCCCCACCTCATCCCAGGCCTTGGGCCAGTACCAACCCCAGCGCAGACACCCAAGGGACTGGAGCAACTCTCTTCCCTTGTCTGGATTTCAGCTGCCTCCTCTGTGGAAGGGAGGCCTTCTACTTCAACTCTCCTCTCCCCAGTTCTCACAGCTTCCTTTAAGACCTCACTGCCCACCCTCATGGGAGCCAGCTCAATGCCAAGATTTCTTTCTGTTGAACTGTGATTTCAAATAGTGTATTCCACAGCCTCATAAACCCACCTTCCCCAAACTGAGGTATGTGCCAGGGTGCTGGGTGTGCCTCAAACATGACACAACTTTCTAAAGCATCAATTTTCCTTGATGGTGAGGGGCCAAAAAAATGTATTTACATACCTAATATAAGATGGAACTGTGAGAGTGTGATCTACAAAACCAGTATGCCACTTTTAAAAGGAAAGCACTAATTCCAGAAAGGGATGCTGTCCCACCAGACCCCATAGGGGCACCTGCCTATTGCCTATCTGCCCACTGTATGGAAAGAGGGCTGAAGCTTTGCAATGTCACAGAAATTCTCAGATTATACTGAACTTGAAAGATCATCCTTCAGACTGGTGAGTGTCTTGACTGGCGCTTCAGAAAATATATTTTGGCTGTAGGCTTCCCTGCGACCACCAAATCTGCTACTCTAAAAACAATACAGTCTCCAAGTTCCTAGAAAGTTTCAAAACCCCTAACCTCCAACTTCTTGTGCTGATTTGTAAATGGGCTCAATGGGAGAATTTACCTCTGAGAAAGGCTGTGGAATTGAAAGGAGACTAACTTCTGCCACACAGTTAGCACAGCCCAAATGCTCAATACGGAGTACCAATAATTATCATTTTTAGCCTTTAAGGCCCAGGTTTCCCCTACATTTGTCTCCCCTATGCGCCCAGCTGCATATCTGCAAAGAAAAGACCTGGGTCCTGGTCTCCCCCAACCACAGATTTTCAACACATGCCAAAGCTCCCACATGCAGCCTCCCAGCTCTCTAAGAGCCTGCACCTCCTTCCCTAACCCCCATTGACATGTCCCGCCCTGATAAGACCCTATGGACAGTTCCCAGCCCTGAAGCCGCCCTTCAGCACCTCCGGGGGAAGCCTATGCTAACGTGGAACAGTGACTGTCACGTAACAGAAGCTTGATCAAGATCTGCTGACTTCAGACACTCAGATCCTCAACCCTCTGTGGCATAGGAAGATGCTCCCTTGCCCATGTAGACGTGCCCCAGGCTTTGCAGACACACCCAAGGCTCCTTAGATCTTTTCAACATGAGAAGGCTCTGCAGCCATTGTTAGGGCCCTCTAGACCAGTGTTTCCCAAACTACAGAGTCTGATAGCAGTATAGTGCTTCACAAATAGCTTGTTATAAAAAGTAAATCGAACACAACAGAAAATTCTTCACAGTACATCACAAGTAGTCATTGGAAATGTTAATTAATGGGACTTGGGCATTAGTTAAATACGTATGTGGGCATGTACTGGGTCTCAATGAAAAATGTATTTCTTATTGTAGATCAAGGTCAAAAGAGTTTGAAAAACATGACACTACATGATCTTAGAGACTTTCCCAGACTAACGTGGACTAATCCTCTCTCCGTAGCCCCAGGGCATCGCAGCATTTTCAAACATTTTTCATTTGAATTACATTCTAAAGTGCTAGTACATTTGAGCTGGGCAAATTTTCCAATATTCTTTGTCTCATTCTCCATGCGATTATCGGGCCCCAAAAGGCATTCGAATTTGCTCCAGGCATAGAGATTGCATTCTTGCAGTCACACTCAAAGCCACCTAGATGGTTCCAGGTCCTTCTAACTGCCCCCAGCCTCCTGTCACCCAGATTGGACACTCCCCAGACGTTGGAGACCCATCCAGGCCTCTCAGAACATCTCGATATTTGCCTCCCTCCTTTGGTGGGTACATCCCACCCCTCTGCGTGGCCCTAAAAGACTTCCTAGCCCTGGATAGTTTCTCCAGGCCCGCTAAATGGCCCCAGACCCATATAGGTGAGCTGCATCCTCAGGTCAGCCTATGCAGATACTTCCCAGACCTAAGAGACATACCCCAGGCGCTACAGATGGCTCTGCAGATATTCCTCAGTTCTTGCAGACCTCCTTCACCCCTGGGACATATCTCAAGATCTCAAGATGGCCCCAGAACCCTCTAAACAGACCCTAGCCTCCGGTCAGTCCATAAAGACGATCAACAGTGCCTACAGAAATGACCCAGGCCAGCCATATGATGGAGGGCAGGCTCCAGTCTCGGTCCAGGCCCTGTGGACGTCCCCAGTCCTCACGGGGATGCCCCGTAGATGCCCCCGGCACCCACAGACGCGTCCTGGGGCCTGGAGAAGGCCCCCCTCTCGGCGCCAGGTTCCGCCGCCGCTGCCCGGTCCGAGGCCGCCCCGTTAAGCCCTCCAGGCCCCGCGGCGTGTGCGGAGGACTCGGGGACAACTAGCGACCCGACTCCGCCCCGCCCACCCCGATAGGCCTGAGCCCCGCGGCCCGGACCTCCGCCGCCATCTTACCCCGCCGCTCGGGCTGCGGCTCCGGCCCCGGCGCGGGGCGGGGCGGGCTGGGGGGGCTCGCGAGCGGAGGGAGGCGAGGGGCGGAGCTAAAACGCCGCCGAGCTTGCCGGGACTTCAAGTACCGAGCACGGTGCCGTGAAGGCTAGTGGGAAGGCTCCGGACTCAGTTTCCCAGCAGTCAACGGGGCACATGGGCAGAGGTGTGCGCGACGCACGCCGGGAGGCGTAGTCCGCGCGTCGCCTCCGTCGCGCGGGGACAGCATGGGGGTGAGAGGTGAAGTGGGCGGGGTTGCGGTGGCCCGCGATGAGGCCCACAGTGCCCTGCGCGCGCGCGGAAAGAGCTGCGGAACAGGAAGTGACGTAAAGCGCACCCGCGGCACAGATGCAAGGGAATTGTAGTTCCGCGGAGTGGGCGGTAGAAAAACAGCTGGAGTGGCTGAGATTTGCCCCGCCCACATCCTGGGGATCCCAGAATCCCGATCTCCCAGTACCCTCTAAATTTAGAACCAAGGAGCCCGGCCCTACAGCCTCCTCCTCATTTAGGTTAGAAAAGTCCAAATTCCGATTCCTCTCACTCAGAGCAGAGGAGTCTGGACTCCCATTTCCCTCCTCCCTACGACTCAGGAGTCCGAGCTCTCCTTCCTTATGTCCAAGAGTCGGACCCTCAGGCCCTTCCTCCCTTAGACTATTCCTGGTCTCAAGCTCGTACCTTAACACGAACATAAGTGTTCGGGTTCCCCACCCGAGCTCCTTCGGATCCAGAATTCTGAGTCCTCTGCCCCTCCAACCCCTGGACCCAAGAGTTGGGGCCCCAGCTCCCTCCTTTACAGAATCTAGCAGTAAGAACCCCCGGATGCCCTCCTCCCCAGGACCCAGGAGACCAGGCCTCCAGCCCCATTCTTTCCTAGAGACCCAGGAGTCTGGGCCCTCAGCTTCTTCCTCCTTCAAGACCCAGAAAGCCTGGCCCTAGGCCCTTCATGACCCAGGCGTCCGGGCTTGGACGAGCTGGCTCATAGATTAGGAATGCAGTGATCTCACGGCCCCTCCCTGCCCCGTTACCCGGCTGTCCCCCTCCAGGGCCCCATCTCCCCTCCCAGTCTGTCTTCCGCTTGGCTGGGACAGCAGGAACCGGAAGCCTGGGTCCCTTAGCGGGCGGAGACTCCAGCTTCCAACCCAGACACCCGGGTCGGGAGCTTGGCTAGGATCCCAGGACACGCTCCTTCCTCAGAGCGCGCCTATATACGGCCGCGCGCGAGTCGGCAAGCCCCACCTACTAGAACTCGGCCTCCGGGATGTTGCCCTGCGAAGCTGCATCGCAGGCTTCTCATTTGCATAGCCCCACCCCGAACGATCTTCCAGACCGGTCTGCCGAAAGAATGAGAGCCCTTATTAGCATAGACCCGCCCCTAGACGTCCCGCCAGGCCAGGGCGCGTGGCGCCGCTCGGGGTGAGCACAGTTCTCTCATTAGCATATCCCCGCCCCCATTCGGAATTCCCCTCTGCAGCGACCGCAGCTCTCCTGCCCTTATTAGCATAGCTCCTCCCTTTCCCTGGCCTTGCCTCCTCCTTAAGTGTCCCGAGACTCGAGCCCCTCTTGCCGGAGCTCATGATTATGCAGTAGCCTTATTAGCGTGGCCCGCCCCTAGGCCCCGCCCGGCTCCCCCAGGCGGTAGCGGCGGCGGCGGCAGCAGTGGCGACATGAGCAGCGGGGCGGCGTCCGGGACGGGGCGGGGGCGGCCCCGGGGCGGGGGGCCGGGGCCCGGGGACCCCCCACCCAGCGAGACACACAAGCTGGTGGTCGTGGGCGGCGGCGGCGTGGGCAAGAGCGCGCTGACCATCCAGTTCATCCAGGTAGTGGGCCCTCACCCGGGGGGGTGCCCGCGGGAGTCAGAACTGAGCCCTTTGGGAGATCCCTGAGACCCCGAGTTCCCCTCGACCCATCACTGAGACCCTCCCGTGAGGCCCTCTAATCTTAAAAAGTCCCTTCAGATTGTGACCCTGGGCCTCCACCTCCTACACGAGAGACCTTCGTCGTATACTTGTATCCTGAGACCCACCATCCCTCCCCTCAATACCCAAGACCCCGCTTCACTGCTGACCTGACCCTGAGCGCCTCCTGCGAGCACCCGAAATCTAGAAGAGTGACCCCATTCAGACCCTAAGCACTCTCATGGGCCCCCATGCCCCTAGGTGCCACCTCCCCCCACCCTGATCCCCATCTCCCCCAAATCCAAGACCCCAGCTTCCCCTCTGAGCCACTCAGAGCCTAACTGGGAGAACACCTGTGCCCAACACCCTTGAGAGTCCCCCAGTCTGGGTGCTTAGCCCCTTCAGGGACCTCCCCCAGAATCTAGAATTTATACCCAGACTTTGCCCCTGAGACCTATCTGGGACCACCCAGTCCTGAGAGAGGCACTCTCAAACCCAAGAGATTTCAAAGATCCTGCCCCTGGGCCATTTCAGAGAACTCTAAGATCCCAAGTCCTGGGGATGCCCCATCCCCCAAGACCCAGACCTCCATTCTCCCCCAAGGAAAACCAACCACTCCTCCATCTTGAGTTTTCCTCCACTCCGGCTCCCTGAGCCCCTCTCAGAAACCCTAGTTAGCCCCCAGATTCTTGACACCTCCAGAAAGACCCGCTCCTTGGGAGTTTCTCTGATCCCGTAAATGCGTCTCAGGGTCTCTAAGACTCTCCAGACACACACCTATATTCTATAACAAACGTCCCCAATGCACCCAAGCCACCTTGGGGCTCTCTCCCAGTTCTCACCCCTGAACTTTTCCCCATGTGCTCTGAAGACACGCCTCTAATCCCCCCAGGGCCTGGTCCCTGCACTCTCTCTCCAGGACAAGCCCTCACCAAGTGCCCCCCTAACAGACAGGATGCAGCCCTCAGACCCTCACCTGCCAGATCACCCCTTCTCTCCTGAAAATCCACCCCTGCTCAGGAAACCTCCACCCCATTCCCAAGGAAAACCCTCCCACCTCGGAGAAACTCTAGAACGGTGTCTGCTCCCGAGATGCTACCGCAGAAGCCCCTGGGCCCCAGGCCCCTCCAGAGACCCCAGCCAGTGCCTGCATGGGAGCCCCTGCCTGTGCTGAGAAAGGCCCTGGCCCTGGGCCCCTTGCACCCAGGGGCAGACCCAAAGCTGGCCAGAGGCCTCACTGGAGGCGGGCGGGACGCAGGCAGGAAGGGAGGGGCCCGGCCTGCAGGCGGGGCAGCGTCTCGGCAGCGGGATTGGAACCGGGACCTTCCCCTGGGAGGAGACACTGGAAGCCGCCTGAGGAAAAAGAAGGGGGGAGGGAGAAGGAGGAGGAGGAAAAGAAAAAAAGGGAAGAGAAAGAGGAGGGAGAGAGAGAGACGGGGAGACATTCTGGACAACAGCGTCTCCCAATAACTGAGCACCTAATATGTCCAGACGATATTTAAATGCTTAACAGGGATTTTCCCTGAATCTCACAAACACTGGATTAAGTGTAGTGCTATTTTTATCCTCATTTTCCAAATGAGGAAACTGAAGTTCAGAGAGGGAAAGCGATTTGTTCAATGTCACACAGCCAGGACGTAAGCACAATGTGGGAGATGTACTTTATACCAGAGAGAGGGAGAGGACCAGGAGAGACTCAGAGAGAGGAGACTGGGGAGGGACAGAGACCCAGAGAGAGGGGCAGAGAAAGGCGGGGCCCAGGGGCAGGGCTCCATCATCCCTGCTGGGGCGCTGCAGTAACAGTGTCCTCTCCCCACCCCCCCCAGTCCTACTTCGTGTCTGACTACGACCCCACCATTGAAGACTCCTACACGAAGATCTGCACCGTGGATGGCGTCCCGGCCCGGCTGGACAGTGAGGGCGGCAGGGAGTGGATGGGGGGATGGTGGCGGGACTGAGGGCTCTCGGAGGTAGCTAAGGGGAACCTCGTCCCCACCACGGCCCCTCTCCCCCTCTCTGCAGTCCTGGACACTGCGGGCCAGGAGGAGTTCGGTGCCATGCGGGAACAGTACATGCGCGCCGGCCACGGCTTCCTGCTGGTGTTTGCCATTAACGACCGGCAGAGGTGAGAGGGGTTGCCATGGCAGAGCAGGGGGGACCGGGTCCGAGTGGCTGGCTGGACCTCATGCCTCCGGCTTCCAATCCACAGTTTTAACGAGGTAGGCAAGCTCTTCACGCAGATCCTCCGAGTCAAGGACCGCGACGACTTCCCCATCGTGTTGGTCGGAAACAAGGCAGATCTGGAGACACAGCGCCAGGTCTGGGAGCCCCCAGGGACCCCATCTTGGTCGGGACACCTCCTGCATCTCCTCACATCAGCATCTCCCTCTGGCTCCTCAGTCCTGCTCCCTCCATTGTCACACACCTCACTAGATGTGTTGCCCCCAAGGGGGACCTCCTGAGTCCCCAGCATTGCAGACAGGAGTCCACAGGAGAGATGGCTGGATAGAAAGAAGGACACCTCCCCGCCTCCCCAGGTCAACCAGCCCCAACTCTCTGCCCTGTCCCTGCCTCTTGTTCCCACCTGGACCCTTGCCCCAGCCTCCTGTTTCTTCTCTCCAGTCAACCTCCCACTCCCCCCCCCCCCCCCGAGCTGCCCCTCCCCTGCTCCCAGCCCTCGCATGGCTCCCCAGCACCCCTGGGAGAAAACTCCAGCTCTCCCACCTGGCGCTTGATGCCCAGCATGGTCTTGTCCCTTCCTTTCTCTGCCCTCATGACTTCCCTGTATACACAGACTGCCTGATTTCCACCCAGAACTCATCTTTTAGATCAAGCCTTTGGGGATTTCCAGCCCTCAGAGCTTTGCTCAGGCTTCTGCTGGGAACACGCTCACTTCTCTGCCCCACGAACTCACAGTTAAATGATCTAATGGCTCAGAAGAGCAAACGTCTATAGAACCTTCCCTGACTCCCTACTTAGATGGTGCTGAGCCCCTTCGGCATCTCCCCCGTGGTCTCGCTGGAACTTTTCCTCTTCACTTGAGCCCCCCAGTATGTAACCCCCATTAGAGGTGTGTGACAGTGTGTCTTTCTGCCTCCCCTAGCCAGGACCCGCCCTGAATGCAGGGACCTGACTTCTCCCCATGTCCCCCACCCCGACCCCAGGTCCCCCGATCTGAAGCCTCTGCCTTCAGCGCCTCCCACCACATGGCCTACTTCGAGGCCTCGGCCAAACTGCGCCTCAACGTGGACGAAGCCTTCGAGCAGCTGGTGCGGGCCGTCCGGTGAGCGGAGCCCCCTTCCCATCGTCCTTGTCCCCAGCCCCCGCAGCCCAAACTCACCACCCTCCTCCCACAGGAAGTACCAAGAACAAGAGCTCCCGCCCAGCCCGCCCAGTGCCCCCAGGAAGAAGGACAGGGGCTGCCCCTGCGTCCTCCTGTAGCCTGGGCGTGAGAGGAGCAACCAACACGAGCTCTCGGGACCAGCTGCCTTCGCCAAGCCTCAGTTTCCCCATCTGGGTCTCCCAGGATACACTACACCCCCTCCCGTAATTCCTGGCCTCCTCCGGGCCACTGCCACTGTGTGCCTTCTGCCAACGCCTCCTTCCCCCACCCGAGCCCCTGGTGGGGGTGAGGGGCTCCCGGGCATCCGGGTCACTGCTGTATATAACTCCCCTCCCCAGAGAAATAAACGTCACTGCCAAAGTCAAAAGGTGCTTTTTAAAAAAGGAAAAAGGGCTCAGGAGAGGTGTGTGAACTCAGGGGGCGCGCACACACACGGCACACAAGGCACACAGACGCTAAAGCCTCGCTCTACCTAGAACCATCAGATCTAGAACCCTTTGCTTGGTTGGGGGGGCAGGGGTCACAGACAAGCCTGAGGCAAGCATCTGGACCCCCACTTCCCCTTCAACAGGGTGATTCTACCCTTTTCTGTTTTGGTGGACGTTTTGTTGGGACCTCAATGTCTGAAAAAAACAAAAAAATTTTCTGGAAAGTTCTAGAACTGCACTGTTCAATATGCCAGGAGCCAGGAGCCACATGTGGCTATTTAATTTAAGTGAAATTAAAAATTTGGTGCCTCAGTCACACTAGCCACATTTCAAGAGCTCAGTATTCACAGGTAGCCAGTGGCTACCCTAATGGACAGGGCAAATATATAACATCTTCATTACTGCAAACAGGTCTAATAGTGGTGTTCTAGAAGGTTCCGGGACCTTGGAGACAGGCAGCAACTGCTACAAACACTGCCTGCCCCCCCTCACTTCCAATGTATATTGAAAAAGTCCTTTTGGCTGGAAGAGAGAGAAGAGACAGGTGGGTGGAATGGTGTCCAAGCAGCTGGCTGGCAAGTTATCAGTTCCAGAAAGTTCCCAATTGGGCTGATGTCTGAGTCTCAACTTTGAATCCTTCTTGAGGCAGGTGTGGACACACCCCATCTGAGCTTCTCTCTTGGGACAGGCTGAAGTGTTGGGCATCTCAAGGCCATGGCAGATAAGCTGACGACACACTCCAGTCTGGGAACCCTTAGACCCCCCCACACATTCAACCCAAGACCCCCAATTCTGTGGTCTAATTGTTAACCTGGAAGGCTGGAGCCAGAACTGGAGACCACCACTCACCCATCTCCCAAGCCCGTCTGACAGGTGGTCTATGAACTCCAACACCTACTTAAACTCAACCAAGATGTCCCCATGCTCTGGAACTTTGGCCTCTATCTGCTCCCCTCACTCCCACATCTGCTAAGTTTCAACAGAATCTCTCTGAGCCCCTGATCCTGGAATGCTCCCTTCACTCGCACCCCAGAACCCGCCTCCTGGTTCTGGGGTAGGTCATGGCCCTGCCTGGCCCTTGGCAGCAGGCTGCCTGGGTTCCAATCCAGCTCTGCTACCTCTCAGTCTTCTCATCTGTAAAACGGGGGCGATCACAGAGCTACATCCCAGGGCCCGAGGCCTTTAGGAGCCAATCTGCACACAGACTGAGAACAGCGTCGGGCACAGACTAAGCGCTGTACCAATGACCGAGGCCCTGTGGTTCTCCTGCCCCAGAACCATGAATGTCCCTCTGTCCTCCAGATGAGAACAATGATTAGCTAAATATCCCTTTCCGGGTTTCATTATCACAGAATCCTTGGCCTGCGTTCAACCTTCCGCTCTGGGAATAAGCGTGGCTCAAATGTATTGTGCCACAAATCCACTCCCTCTCCTCCAGAGCCTCAGGGGCCCACCCCTGTGCGATGGGGGAGGGGGGGCGTTTCCATCAGTTTCCAGACAAGATCTGACACCTCCAGCCAGGGGTGAGGAGCCCTCAAGAGGAACCAGCAGCGTCCTGGGCCAACTTCTCTCTCCCCGGGTCCCACCGCCAACACTTCCCTAGTAGGTCTGTCTTTTCTGCATCGTCTCACGGGGCCAAGTTCTTGGCCGGGACACTCTGCTTCTGGAAGGGCCAAGATGCACTTTGAGAAGGTGACGAAACCTACGGCCTGCTCCCAGCAAAAGGCAGACGTACAAACCCACGCGACAACTGGCAGGCCATTTTTGGAAGGTTCATGGCCACCATTCCAAAGCTCACCAGACAACAGCGAGGAGGCTGGGATGCACTAGTCGGCATCTCAAGGCACATGTGTGTGCCTGATACTCTGGTTCCTGCCCTCCCCCCAAACCCCAGGCTTGGCGGGCCCTGGTAATGATTCTAAGTCACTCCGGGTTTTGATGTTCCTCTTTATCCATTTTTGTTGTCCTGTCTCTCTTCTTTTCTTGCTCTCTCTTGGACCTCCACCAAGCCTCTTGGGGTCTCCTGCTATGGGTGACAGGAGCTAAATCATGAAAACAAATGAATTGTTTTCCTCCATCTTGACAAAAACCCATTCTACAGATGACAAAGCTGAAGTTGGGGGCTATTATCCGACTCACCTGGTTAGTGCTAGAGCTGGAATTCAGGTCTGGGCAATTCAATTCCAAAGGCCAACCACAAGGTTATTCTGCCCCCGAAGAGATGATATTGTCCCCACCGTCCACCTTCCAAACGCTCCATCCACTTTCTATCCTATCTGACCTGGGACGACACCGATCCTGATTCTTTGGCCCTAATTTGACAACCCAGTCTAGAACCTTGAATGAGCAACCACCTCTCAGAGGTTGCGCCTCCAGCGTGCTACAGGCCATGGTTCAAGGACACTAATGGACACCCACTTAACGCCATGATTCTAGAAAGTTCATGGTCCATCATCGACTCTCCCATTGTGGTTCTGAAATGCTACTATCCATCCTCTATTCTGTAAAACCAGGGCTCTAGAATCAGTAACACTGGTGACGGTCTAGACGATATCCAAGGTTCTAGAACATGGGCTGTTCTTCAATTTCACCCAGAAAGGAATCTAGAACGCTGATGATCCAGCCTTAAATCTCACAACCCACGACCAGCCATCCTCAATGCTGACTCGAGGGTTCTGGGTACCAACAGTCCATCTTTGATGATAAGGGTCCAGGTTCCAGAATGACAACGGCCTACTCACTACTTTATAGGCTGGGTTCTAGAATACTGCCAGTTGACCTCCACATTATTAACACTTTTGTTCTAGAACACGCTCCTCCAACTTGAACGCGTATAGAATCCTCCCAGGGCCGGCCCTGTGGCTTAGCGGTTAAGTGCGCGCGCTCCGTTGCTGGCGGCCCAGGTTTGGATCCCGGGCGTGCACAGACTCACCACTTCTCTGGCCATGCTGAGGCCGCGTCCCACATACAGCAACTAGAAGGATGTACAGCTATGACATACAACTATCTACTGGGGCTTTGGGGAAAAATAAATAAATAAATAAAATCATAGAATCCTCCCAGAATCTTATTAAAAAGTGGGCTGTGTTGGGCTGGCCCTGCGGCATAGCAGGTAAGTGCGCGTGCTTCACTGCTGGCAGCCCGGGTTCAAATCCAGACGCACACCGACGCACCACTTGCCAGGCTATGCTGTGGCGGCATCCCATATAAAGTGGAGGGTTGGCATGGATGCTAGTTCAGGGCTGATCTTCCTCACACACACACACAAAAAAAGTGGGCTGTGATGCAGTAGATTTGAAAAACAGCCCGAGTCTACATTTCTAGAAGCTCTTGGGGGACTCCAAGGCTGGTGGTCCTGGATCACACCTTGAGCAGCCACAAGGCTCGAGGAATCCATCAACTTGGCAGCCGGCCTCTGAATTGCCAGTCCCCTGGTGACCTTGTGGATTCAGGGTTCCAGAATAGAGACCCGCCCTCAAGTCTACATACGGAGCCAAGAAAAGCGGGTCAACTTCCGACAGCCATCACTGCCTGTACTGGTTTAAAAGCACATCCCAAAATTCGCATACTTTTCCCTTCATGAAGCAGAGCTGAATTCCCCTCTCCCTGAGTGTGCTGGGCTTAATGACACTCCTCTAATGAACAACGTGGCACAAGTAATGGTGTATGATGTCCGAGATAAGCACACAAAAATCTCATGGCTTCCTCCTTGCTCTCTCCCCTTGATCACTTGCTGCTGATGAAACCAGCTGCCAGCCATCCCCATAGGAGCGAGGCCCACGTAGCAAGGAACTGAGGCCACCAGCCAACAGCCACAAGAGCGAGCCACCTTCAAAGTAGATCCTGTAACCCCAGTTGATCCCTTGATGACTACTACTCTGCCTGACCACTTGCCTGTACCCTCAAGACAGCCCCTAGGTCAGGACCACCCAGCTAACCTGCTCCCATGATCCTCAGACACCAACAACCAAACAAGAAACAATGATGTTTCTTGTTTTAAGTCACTCAAGTTTGGGGTGGGCCAATTTGTTACACGGTGAGACATAATGGATACAACGACCTCAGCCCAACCACCTGCCAGGGCTCCAGAAAAGCCACATTCAGTTCCAGACCCTCTGCCCGTGCCACCTCCAGGCCCGCCCGCACGCCGCAGGACAGAGATACTCCAGCCAGCTGATAAAGTGTTTGCCGTTGGGTTTTCGTTTGGCTGGTTGTGTGTACACAGTGTATACAAGTTGAGTTGTACAGAAGCCCAAGAAAGAGCAAGAGACGAAGGGTGGCGGGGAGGTGGGAGCAGAGAGGTTAGAGAGAGGAAGGAGGGGATAGGAAACCGATAAAAAATAGAACCACATCCAGACGACAATGGGATGGGGGCAGTGGGGAAGAGGGGCAGACACAGACAAATCGCAGTAGAAAAGGAATAGGAGGGGCAAAAGGAGGGGACCCCTCTCCCCCTCCACCTCCCCAGCCCCCCGCCCCAGGTATGTACAATAAATAAGATTAAAAATAATTAACAAGATGCATTTTCCCCCTCCCACCCGATGCCAAATGCCCTGGGGAGGGAATGGCCTTTAGCAAAGATCTTGGCCTATTAAGGAGTGATTTGGGGGGGAGGGGGTCCCCCAGCTCTCTGAAGCCGCCCCAACCCCCTCAACCATACATAGACTTTTCCTATACATTATGTACAAGGTGGAGGGGGCGGGGGCTATGGCCGTGGAGGGGGGATTGGGGCAAGGGGGGAGGGAAACCGTTACTAAATAGACATTTATACATATATATAAATAATTTCTCTGTACACCGGACAGTGGGAGGAATGGGGAAGGAGTGGTGAGGGCTTGGGGGTCGGGGTGGGGGGGAGTCGAACTTTGAACCCTGCCCTGGGGGGCAGCATGGAGACACCCTGACCAATGACCCCTCCCCTTCCCTGGCAACGGGCCCCGGGGTTAGCTCCTGAGGACACAGTTCTGTCCCAATTCTCGGTTCATGGAGGAGGCACCCCGCCCCCCACAGGCTGGGGTGGGGTCACCCGCAGCGGCTGTGGGCCTGTGCTTGGGCCAGCAGGTCGCTGAAGGAGTCGAAGAGCTGTTCCAGCCACGGTTGGTTCCGCATGCACTGCTGGACCACCTCCTCCTGGCCCAGGTCCTCAGCGCCGCCCTCGATGGCCAGGGTCTGCAGGGGTGAAACACGGAGCTGGGGCAGGTGGCTACAGGGCCTGCGGTGGGAGGGGGCTGGGGGCCTAGGGATCAGTGTCCCAGGGGGAGGGGGGCTGGGAGTTGGACCCCTGGGTCTGAGGGAGGAGAGGCTGGGGGCCAGGATTCCTGAGACTTCTAGGTGTGATCCTCATTCTGCCTCCCCTTTCCTCCTTCCTCTGGCCCCAGGGGACAAAGCCTTGGATGGCTACAGTAAGAAGAAATATGTGTGTAAACTGCTCTTCATCTTCCTGCTTGGCCACGACATTGACTTTGGGCACATGGAGGCCGTGACCCTGCTGAGCTCCAACAAGTACACGGAGAAACAGATAGTGAGTCTGGGGAGGAGGGGCCGGGGCTGGACTCCCGGGTCTGAGGGAGGAGGGGCCGGGGCTGGACTCCCGGGTCTGAGGGAGGAGGGGCCGGGGCTGGACTCCGGGGTCTGAGGGAGGAGGGGCTGGGGCCGGACGCTCGGGTCTGAGGGAGGAGGAGCTGGGGCCCTGGAAGCGCTAGCGAGGGGGAGAAGCCCAGGGCGCTGCGTCGGCGGGGCGGGGGGCGCGCGCGCGCTCACCTGGTCCCGGCAGCGCAGGAAGGTGTGGTACTTATAGTGGTGGAGTGAGTGGTAGAGCGTGTAGTATCCCGACTTGTCCAACTCAACCTTGAACTCCTGGGCAGACAGAATGATGAAGCCTCAGCCCCACTGCCCGGCGCTGGCAGCCCCTCTCCCCACCGCCCCCACACCGGCCCCTCCCGTCCGGGCCCCACCTGGGCTCGGACCACGCTCCTCTTGAGTTTGCTGAGCGTCTTGCGGTTGTAGGGCTCCCCGGCCGGCCGCAGCCGCACGGCCCCCTCCTCCGGGGAGCCCTCCCCGCTCTGCTCCACTTGCAGCTGGGGGAACGTGTGCAGGGCATCCTGCGGGGAGCAGACCAGTCAGTAAGACACCTCCCTGGACCCACACACCTGAAACCCACCACCCAGTTCTCAGATCCCCCGAGTTGTTGGATACCTCAGTTTCCCCCAGGCTGCAGATCAGGAGAGACACTCAGGAGTCTTGGTCTCTTCAAAGGGCAAAGGAGCCTAGCCCTGTCTGGGGACCCTTATAATGTGCTCTGTGGCCCAGCCCTGGATCCTCAGAGATACTAACATTCCACCCAGGATCCTCAGCACCAGCCTAACATCCTACTCAAAATTCTCAGAGTCAGCCTAGAATCCAGAATTCACATTGCCAGGCTAATGTTCAATCCCAGAACTCTAAAACCAGACTAATACTCCATCCCATAATCCTCAGACCTATCCTTATATTCTACAATGGAATTCTTCACTCTAGCCTAACACCGTACCCAGAATTCTCTGAGTCATCCTAACATCCCACCCAGAGTTCTAGAATCAGAATAACATTTTATCCCATGTTTTCTGAGTTGGACTAACATCCCACCCAGAATTTTCAGGGCCAGCCTAGAATCCATCCCACAATTCTCAGAACTAAATTAACACCCCCCCAGAATTTTCAGGGCCAGACTAACACTCCATCCCAGAATTCTGAGTTGCTCTAACATTCTATCTCATAATTCTCAGCACCGCACTGACATCACCACCAGAATTCTCAAAGCCAGGTTAACATTCTATCACAGAATTCTCAGAGCCGCCCTATTATTCCATCCCAGAACCCTAGGCCATTCTAGAAGGGAAATTATGTAGATGACTTAATATTAAGCGTGAGATTATAATAGGCTGCATTACATCTAAGGAAAAGCCACCAGAATCTGCTTATCGCTTTGCCCCCGAGCGAACTGGGTGCAGGCTCTAGTCTACCTTCTGTCTCCAAGCTTGCACTCCATAACCAGGCTCTGCTGGGCCTGCCCAGCAACCCACCACAGACCTTCACAATGACCCCTCCACACCATCCCAGCTCCCCTCCATCTGGGCCTGCAAGACCTCCTCCTGACAGTCCTGCCCTCAACTTTCCTTCTGGCCAAGCCCAATCCTTCTAACGATTGCCCCCTCTTGGGCCTGATGCTCCGGGGACCACCGCGGTGGCTGACACCTACAAGCCTCCTCATGGCTGACCCCTGGGCCCCAGACACCTGCTACCCAGGTCCCCCGCAAGCACCTGCAGGGCTGGGCTCAGTGACAGCCGCTTCAGGACTTTCTTCTTGTGCTCATTCAGAAGGCCATCGATCTTCCGCATGGGCGGGAGGTACAGCTCGTCTGAAAGATGAGGAAGGGGCGTCAGAAGAACTGCAGCCCCACAATGCAACAGGGCAAAGGAGGGGTCGGGAGTCTGGGTCCCCAGTCCTGCCTCCCCAGGCCTCGGCTCACCATGTGTGTCCTCCAGGGCCTGGATCATGTCCGGGTCGAGCGCTGTGCTCACCAACATCTCCACGTAGCTCCGGTACATTTCCCGCATCGCCCGGGTCTTCAGCAGACGCCCGGGTACTGCCCGCTCTGGGGGAAAAATGGGACATGGGCTCGCTATTCCAACTTCCTCCGAGGCTGCCTGTGTGGCAGACAGTGTTCTAAGCGTCGGGGACCCGGAGAGAAACCTCTGCCCTCAGTCTGCTGGGGAACACTGACAAGCACCGGTGTAATACGCTCTAACGGCAGAAAATCACAAGCATTGAACAAGCTCGACCCGGTGAGCTGGGAAAGGCTTGTTCAAGGCCACACAAGAGCTGAGTCTCGAGTGATAGGAAAGAGCATTCCAGGCCAGTGAACTTCATGTTTGACTAGTTCGATGGGGCTTCAATAAAGTCTGAAGCAGCAGCATAGTTAGTTTCCAAACCAGTGAATCAAGTCAGAGAGATCAGATCACAAAGGGCAAGACTGAGGGAGATGGGAGCTGAGACAGTGCAGGCCAGACCACGCAGGGCCTCCAATGTGAGGCGGAAAGAGCAAGGGCTTTTTCTGGTGGGTACTAGGGAGCTATGGGAGAGCTTTGAGCAGGGGAGGGGCGAGGGTCAGTGTAGAAATACCCCTCCCAGGCCATGTGGGGGATGGGTAAGACCAGAGACCAGAGCAATGGACCAGGTAAGACAGGATGAGGATGAAGCAGGGCCGTAGGGATAAGATACAGCAATAGAGGGAGCAGGAGGGCCAGCATCTGGGCCAGGGCTGTGGGAAAGAGCAGAGGGGATGGGGGCAGTCAAGGCGGGAGGGGAAGGGCTGAGGCCTCTCTGCTGTGGACACAAGGGAGCAAAGGATGGTGCCCGGAGGGTCTGGACTGGTGACTGGGTAGCCAGTGGGGCCGTCACAGAGAAAGGGAAACCAGGACAGGGAGCTCAGTGGGATCTGGAGGGAGGGGACTGGGGGGAGGGGCCTGGAGGGTGGCCAGGGGAAGCAATGAGTCTGAGGCTCGCTGGAAAGTTCTGGGAGCCTGCCAAGTGAAAGGTGCAGAACAAGAAGCAACAAGGCCAAGGGTAGGACTTGAGGGACACCCACGAGAAACTCAAGAAGGAGTACAGGGAGGACAGAGAAGCAGATGCCCATGAGAAGGCCCCAAAACATCCCTTAGGAAGAAGCACGAGAAAAGTCCACTTGATTTATCCACATGGGGGAGTGACCTTGGTGACAGCTGCTTCAAGGGGCGAGAGTGACTACTTGGCAGTGGAAGTCAGACCCCGTCAGGCCTTGGCCCAAACCATCCTACGGCGTCTGTCTCGCTCACGACAAAATCCTTCCCATGGGGTCACAAAGCCCCAGGCCCCTCATCCCTCCAACATCTGGTCTATTTTCTTCTCTGTCCTCCCTTCTCCCTGTCGTCTCCCCTTACTGACTCGCTCCTCCTTCCTGATCCTCAGACACACTCAGCCTGGAATGTTCTCTCCCCAAAGTCACACGACCCCAACCCCATCGCATTCAGATCTCTGCTCCAATGGCATTTCCAGAAGCCTTCCCCACACCCCCCTCCCCCTAAAATATCACCCAGGATCCCGCTGGATCCTCTTTGCTGGATTTATTTTTCTTAACTCTTTAATCCCGCCCAGCCTCACACTGATGATTTTTCATATTGGTTTGTATTCTATTACATAACATATTTATCTGCTCGACTCCCCCAGCTCCCACGAGGACACATGTTTTCGTCTGTTCTGTTTACTGCTGGCACCCCAGTTCATGGCACATAGTTGGTGCTCAATAAATGCTTACAGAAAGGGGCTGAGGAAGCCAGATGGGAGTGGATGAAAGAAAGAGGCAAAGAGGACATGACCACAGCCCCTTTCTAGAACCTTCGTTGTGAATACAAGAAAGAAGAGCATCAGCGTCCAGCACGTGGAGGGTGACTGTTCTTGGACAAGCAAGAGGGTTGATTCTAAGGCTTCATGGGCTGGGCAAAGTCTTCAGGGCATCCAGACCCAGACCCAGAGAAAGCTACTGACCCTTGGCGGGGAAACTGCTCCCCTAAGAGTATAGAGTTCAGTCCCCCCCATTCCCCAGGCTCAGAAAATCCAGTGCCTGTCCATGTATGTTCATAGCAGCATTATTCACAATAGCCAAAAAGTAGAAATAACCCAAATGTCCATCAACTGATGAATGGAAAAACAAAATGTGGTATATCCACGCAATGGAATATTATTTGGCCATAAAAAGGACTGAAGTTTGGATCCACGCTACAACATGGATGAACCTCAAAAACATTACGCTGAGTGAAGAAAAGGCTACACGTTGTGTGATTCCACCCACGTGAAACGTCCAGAATAGGCAAATCTATAGAGATAGGAAATTACTAGTTGCAAAGGGCTGGGGGGAAGGGAGAAAGGTGAGTGATAGCCAAAGGGTGCAGGGTTTCTTTTCAGGGTGATGAACATGTTCTCAAATTGATTGCTGAGATGGAAGCACAACTCTACGACTATACTAAAAGCCACCGAATTATATGTTTTAAATAGGTTAACTATATGGTATGTGAATTAGATGTATAAAGTTGTTTAAGAAAAAAGAAAAGAAAATTGAAGGCCAGAGAAGGAAAGACCTGCAAACCTGGGCCTTTCGCAAACCTCACTTTCCACACCATCCCCTGTCCCAGCTTTACCTATTTCCACCTGGCGTGATGGAGCACGGTACAGTTAAAAGACTACATTTCCCAGCCTCCCTTGCAGCCAGGTGTGGCCATGTGACTAGTTCTGGCCAATGGGATATGAGAAGACAGGATGTGGGCCACACCCAGATCTCACACTTGAAAGAAGGCCAGCCCATTCCCCTGCCCTTGTGTCCCTTCCTACTCTGACCATGTGGTTGAGGAGAGCATGCTGGGGGACAGCGGAGCAAAAAGAGGTGAGACCCTGGGACGCTGGACAAGGTAGAGAAGAGCCTCTTATTCTCCATGAACCTACATCAGGGCTTTGATGGAGAGAATTCCATCTCTCATTTGACTAGCTGTATGTTCAGTCTCTGTTCAAACAGCCACCCTTCCACTATACCTGAAAGAGTGTGTGACCTTGAGTGAGGCACGTCACCTCCCAGTGCCTCAGTTTCTCATCTTTAAATGAGGATAATTTTATAGCACCTACTACAAAGGGTTTATGTAAAGATAAAAATGTGTAAAATGCTTATAATGATGCCTGGCACCTGGTGAGCACTCAACAAAAGTGAGCTGTTACACATATTTCTGTGGTTGTGATTGTCCTCACAAACCAGACATCATTCTAAGCAACGAAGCTCACAGCTGGTGCCTTCCTCCGTGCTTTACCTATTATACCCATTTTACAGGTGAGGTCACTAAGGCACAGAGAGGTGATGCCCCAGTCCTGGAGTCACCCAGCAGGTCACCAGGAACACCACCATCTCCGGGCCTCCAGGATGGATGCTGGTCCCCCATCTCCCTCAGATCCTGCCTATTCTGAGACAAAACAGCATAGCATTGAAGAACAGAGCCTGAGGCTTGGCTGGCTGCCTTCCAACTTGGGTGGGACGCCACATCCCAGCACCCTATTGGTGCCTCAGTCTCCCCATCTGTCTATGAGGATAATAAGAGTATCTATTCGCTAGGACTGCTGTGAAAATTAACCAAGTTAATATACGTAAAGAACTTAGAAGACAGTCTGTCACGTAGTTTGGTGCCACATAACTGTTAGTATTGCTATGATTTTTAATTTACTTATTGTGATTGTTACTGTCTTGCTGATGCTACGCAGTGCCCTCTGGATGACCCTCACCCGTGCCTCCTTCTGGAGGCCCCGGGGTCACTGCTCCCTGCCTCCCCTCCAGTCCAGTGGCCGTCGAGGGCCTCACCGTCCTCACTGGGCACTCCGGGGGATGACTCCGAGTCCGAAGAGCTGCCTGGGGGGCCCCCGCCCGCCGCGGCGTTGCCCGCCGCCTCCTTCAGCCACTTCTTCCTCTTCTTGGGGGGCGGCTCGGCCTTCACCTTGGTGAGCCGGGCCTTGGGCAGCCGGGAGGTGGCGGGCTGTCCCGCAGTGAGGCTCCGCTCAGGCCGTGTCTGTCGCCCAGTCACGCCTCGCTCACCCCGCAGCGGCCGCTCCCCACGTGTCACCCGCTCCTTCTCCTTTTCCTTCTCAACGGGCCGTGGGGGGGATGGCTTCTCAGGGGCAGGGGGCTCGGGCATGGCTGTCTCGGGCGTCTGCTCTGGGGGCTTCTCAGATGTTGTTTTCTCAGGGGTCTCAGGCTTAGGAGGTGGTGCCAGGGCCTTGGGGGGAGGTGCAGAGCTGCCCCCCGCAGACATGGGGCCCTTGGCCTGCCCGGAGCGCCTGGAAGGAAACATAGAAGAGACTGCAGCCAGCAGCCCCCAAGAAACCCAAATTCTCCTCCCTGGGACCCCCCTGCCTAGCCCACAGCTCTAAGCACAGAACCAGCTTCGCTCTTGCTGACTTTCTGTTTCCTTTCTCTACAGCTCTCTGTCTCCCCTACTCTGGGCCTCTCTCCATCTCTCTCTGAGTCTTTGTTCCCCCACCTCAGGATCTATCTCTCTGGGTCTCTGTCTCCACCCCTCTGGCTCTCTCCGTCAC